GAGTTTAATTAGGTAGACTGAGTGATAAATTTGTATAAAATAAATTTGTACATACTTACCAATAAATATCTAATAAAAAAGGTGTAAGCCATCTGTTTAAAAAAAAAAAAAAGAAAAGGGGCATAGAAACCAAGTTAAAAAGAAAAATTATCACAAACCTTTTTATATGTAATTAGAAAGTAAGCTGGACTTTCAAACCTATCAACTTTATAATCAAAGGTTTTATTTTGATTCAACAGTGGTTCTTAAAGTCCTTATGTCCTTAAGCTTAGAGTTTAAAATATATAAAGAATAAAGAGAGTATAGTGCTTCAAAAAAAATCATAAAAGGAAATTTCTTTATAATGTAATTTAATTAAAAATATTAACATGATATAAAAAATTTCATACAAGTAATTAAAATATTACAAGTATTGAATTTTACTTTCCAAAAGATATACAAGTCATCTATTCATCAAAGTAATCAAATTTTATTATTATATTATAGGATAATAGCATATAATTTTTGTTGTTAAAAATGTAATATAAAAATATGCTGCATATCATGCTATTGACAATGATGACCAATTTCTGTTGTCAGATTATATGATAACAGTGGTTGATTTTTGTTATCATATCACATAACAACAGTAGTCAATTTATGTGATTAGATCACATGATAGCAGTGGTCAATTTCTGTTGTCAAGCCACATACCTGAGTGAAATAGCTTAGACTAAGGGAAAATAATTTTAAAGAAATAGTTATACAATAATAAATTTAAAATATTTAAGCTAATAATTAAAAAGAAAAAAGTTCTAAAAGGTAATTAAAACTATTTTAATTTTTTGAAAAGAATAAACCATTTGATTTTTTTTTAAAAAAAACATTTTAAATAACATGATACATAAAAAAAAACTCATTAAAATCTATATTATTTATAAAGAATATCATATTTCATGTGCAGAACTTGAAAGAAGAATATCTACTGGTCAAAATGTTGATATTATAATTTTTGACTTAAGTAAAACTTAGAAAGACAAAAATGTCAAAAAGAGAAAAGGAGAAAAAAAAATAATAAAGTATTAAAAAGAGATTATATAAAAAAAGAAAATTAAAATAAAGAGAAAAGGGAAAAAGAGAATAAAAAAAAGCAAATAGTTGAATCAAACTAGTTTTAGTTAAACTATAATTCTATTTTCTTTGACTGATTTTTAAACTTTTTTCTTGTAAATTGTACTTATTTTTAATAAACGTTTTGTAGAATACAGACCAAAAAATATAAATAATTTAGATAATATGATATTACAAAAAGTTTGTAATTGTGCAAAATAGTGTCGTGGGTTCTTCTGCAAGCCCACACACTCTTTTCGGTTTACAATAAGGTAGGTTTCTCTTCTAACTCTTGAGGCGTATTTCCGATTTGGCCGGTCTTCTCACTCTGACTTTTCTACCGACTAGCCTAGAACCCTTCCAATGCCAATTCCCTTAGGCAAACCTCGGTTCTCTCTTGTAGTCGCGTAGCCCAAGTCCCAAGTCTACTTTGGCATACTTAAACACAAGGTAATAGTTTATCCTTTAAATGTTACTTTGTTGTTTATTACTTACTGTAAGATGTTACTAACTCTAAACTTCAATCCTAAAAACCTCTTTACATGATACTTATTTGCGCATGTATTTATACATGCGCCCATTGTTTACATGTTTACATCTGATCATTATTTTACGTTATTCTGGAAATTCCCACCTTTAAATTCTCCCACACTAATTTCCCACCGTTCCCTCACGACAACACTAATTACGCGACGCGGCGACGTGTCACGTTACTGCGCCTACTTTTTTACCCGCTACAATAGAAACGAACACATTTAAGACAGTAATATGAATAACAGAAAATAATGTGTAAAAAATATATTTGAGTCAATTTTTAGGTGATAATTACAATATTAAAATTAAAAACTTACATTAATAAAAATTACTACATTGTTTTCATTTTATTTATGAATTAATTAATATTTCATACCCCAATATTGTCATTGATGCTATGCTAAGCTGCAGAAAGTTTAATAGATAACGTTGTGATATATATATATATATACAGTATATATTTCTGATGAATCAGCCCATCTATTTTGCTAAAATTTGCAAAAACAAATAAACAAATAACTATAGTGCTGTATGGTACGATATATTCTTCGCCACGTATATTTTTTTATTAATGTCTTTGTTTGTTGAATTCATGGGAATTTTTTGCGTGTCAAAATTAATAAGCCTGGTTTGATTTAATAAACATCGAAATCGAAATCGAATTTGTGCTGTTCAAACAAGCACATTCTCGTACTCTATTGACACTCATGAAAAATTATAGAAAATGGGCATTAATATTGACGATTCTCATTTCTTGGGTTGTGCTAGGATCAGCAGGTAGCGATTAGAGCACTTAAAGAATTTATTTGAGTAAATTTGCTGAAAGATAATGTTGGATAGACTGAAGTATCATTGCATCACAAATTCTTAAACATTAAGTTATCACAGATATCTCGCTGCCCTCGGATCAAATATATACTGACTCTACTATAGACATCACCTGGAAGCTCTCCTCAAATATTGATAATGATATCAATAATACCTCTATTGGATATTTAATAATAATAAATACGGAAGACGGGAGCTTCAACGTAATAGATGACCATTTAAATACCTTAGCTTTATCAAAAACTTGGAATATCAATGTACCATCTGGAATTTATCTTTTTGCTCTTAATGACGGAAGCAAAGAATATTATTCGGAAAAATTCACGATATTAGAAGAGACTGAAGGATACTCCGACACACATGGTAGTAGTGTATTTTATTTCTTTTTTTGAAATATTTTGTGCATGTGCATAATTTGAATAATTCCATTTTGAATCGTCGGTTAATTTATGACTTAGAATCCGATTTAAATTATTCTTCTACCGATAATACCAGTTCATATTTGCATTTGCCATCAACTTTGACCTTCATCATTATCATTTTCTTACTTATCCTACTTTTCTGTTTCATTTCGTGTGCTTGTCAATTGTGCACAGGGTGCTTTTGTTGTTGTATTTAACTATCGTGCATCCTACTGTTTTAGTTGCAACCACAAATGTTTTTTTTGTAGAATGATCAATGGACAAAGAAAATAACATCTCTCCTTTTGTGTACATTTAAATTTTAAACTCATTTTATAAGAGACAACCAAAATAATGTCAATTTAAACAACTGTCGAGAAATATAATAAATAGAAAGTAGCATTATCATTATGCTTTGCAACTTTTAAAAATAATAATGATTTACTGTATATACGAGAAATTAGTTCGACTACAGTATTACAGTATCAATTGAATAATTCTTGGGCAGCACATCATAATCGATCACCACGTTGGCATAACAAAGGTTATTTCTTTTTAACCACTGTAGTGCATGAGAGACCTTTTTACGGCAGGCATTAAATCTTTAAACATCAATTAATTTACAGGTTACTGGCGTATTATGCGAACTTCTGACGAGGTAGGCTGGTTACAAACTCCACGATATCTTGAGGAATGTTAATGATGTTTCCACAATATCCATATTGTCCGCCACGGAGATTATATACTCTATTAAACTTAAGTTTCATTGGTATGCTGTATAACCACCCTTGTGTGAGCACCTGGATTTAAAATAATAACTTTTTTATTTTTACATACCCGAGATTTGATATTAGGTAATCAGATCTCCATCATGTAATTCGTTATTTGTAGTAAACCCATTTTTAAATCCGAGATATACAACAATGTTAGCAGTCAAACAGTGACTTATTTCGAAAAAAAACAATCCTAGAACTGATTGGGGTATTATGCGCAAAATATAAAGAACTTGAAATATGTATATGAAGACCTAAATACAGTGCATCTCAAGGAGTATTTAAAAGAGTCCACCGAATAGAAAAGAGATCGAAGGGAATAGGATTGGAGAGTGGAGGAGAGGGAATCACAAAGTTATTTGGCATTTCATGGTAAATGCACTCCAAGGGAATGTAGATAACACATTGCCCGGGTTGAATGTTGAGTGGATTGCCTTGACGGTCAATTGTTCCAAATTCATACTGAATAGAAAAATATATTAAATTCATTCAATCCCGTGCTAAAAAAGTATGTAATAACGTGACGTACCATTAAAGGAGCAAGCGCACCAACAGCTGTTTGATTATTTACACAATAATGCCAAGCCTATTAAAGAATAAAATTGTTAAAATGGTAAGGCAACTATGCAGAAATTAATGTCCATTGTCATTATTTACTGTCATCTCCGTTGGAACCGTATCATCTGGTGTATAATTTAGCTTAATGGCAATTGCATTATGAACTCTATTAGGAAGAAGCCAGTAATATTCTATTTTATTCGTAAGATGTTCCTCAGTTTCAGAATATGCAACCTCTATTACAACATTGGGCCAGGGTTTATTCTAAGAGTATATGTTATCACAAACATTAAAAATTCAATACAATCGCATTAGCATATGAATGAACAAGGTTAAAATCTCTTCATACTTTTCCATCATAACCACCTCTAGACACTTGAGGTTTTCCTGAAGGTATAAGAGACGCATCTGAATCTTTACCTCCTCCTCTTGTTCTTGATGCTTTAGTCAAGGATAACGAGTAATAGAAACATACTTAGAATAAAGTAACGTAAAGAAAACCAATAAAAAACTCACTCGTCGCTTCAGAAAAAGTAACACCAGAGGGAGAAAAGGACATGGCACGAAGTGCCGAGTACAATTCCCCTACAATTGTAGCGACGCTCTTCCCGTGAAAGTCTGAAGGCAGTTCGATAACACGGACAATTCCATCTTCCCATTCCCAAAGACCCTTTACGTTATACTTATCTGTTTGAAAAATATACTCTTCCAACGTCACATCAGTCTTGAGTTCATATGGTAAACTTGAAAATAAATAACAACTGATATCAACCACTAACTTATTAAATATCCGATCATTTAAGCAAATAGGAGACTTACGTGGCCTCCTCCCACTTGGCTTTTGGATGTATATTACCGGTTTTCCACCAAAACTGGCGGTACTTTTTTAGTTCATCTTCATCCGTCGCTGGGTCTCTAAGAGAGGTAGAACCTGCCGTTTTACTAGACATGACACCGCTTGAGGTGAATCACATGAAATAATACTGTATAACGGTAAGTAGTTCTTTTTTGTTCCAGGGAGTTGCCATATATACATCATAGTTCGGGCGGATTACCACAAATACACAATCTTCTGAAACATTCCATCACACAAAAATTATATGAATCACGTGGCAAAAGTGATTACAGTATATGACTCGGTATCAATAAACGTAGTTTATTGCTAAAATCCGTAAATCCTTGACGCAATTGATTATAAAAAAATTGCGACTCAACTAGGTATACTTATTTTCATTAGCATTTAATAGAAATTATACATGAAACATGTTTATAGTGACTACATCGCACCTGCATTGCACCTTCCTTACATCTATATTATAAGAACGTGAAAGGAAAATTAGACCAATGTCCATCTCGGATTTGTTTATCTCAGACTGGGCGATTTCAAATGGTCATGACCCACAGCCCTAATTGAATGAAACCTCGTGATTTCGAAAATAAAATATCGAATCGGAGAAATTTGGTTACACAAAAATATGTGAAGGTTAGTACAGCGTCGCTAGTGTCTTAATATGCGTAGATTGAACGATCCGAGTGTTAAATCATGATATCATTCATAATCATTGTCAGGAAATTCACAAAACCTATCATCTTTAGATACATTAGCATACTCACTCTGTGGGTCATCTTTGTTATTATCTAAGGATCTTCAAAATCGTATTCATATTTGGAATTTTCAAATGCGATAGCATCCTTACTCTCGGAGTTATCTAACGCACTTACCTATATCTTGACTTCTGATGAATCGGAACTTGATCATTACTCATCTCTAGTAAAGTTTTTCTAATTTGTCCACGCTATCATTTTGCAACTGCGTCTGTTTCAATTTCGTAACTCTAGCTCTAAGCTCTTTATTTTCAACGTTAAAATTTGTATCATTTATTTTATTTTTCTCTATCTCATCTTTGAAGCTTGATATTCTTGGCTTCAAGCTCAGCCTTTTTGACCTCAATTTCGACATACTTTATTTAAATTCGCTAATATCAACTCTAAGTTTGGTATTTAATTCTCTTAGCGAAATAATTGTATATTTTATATCTGCCATCGTGCAGTCATGTTCAATTAATTATTATAGAGATATTTAAAATAGATTTTATTGACGGTATATTTATATGCTCATTCATTATTATGAATGATTGCTTATAACTGAATAATATATTGTATACACATGCACTTTATATAAAGGTATTGTCGCAAATAGATTCTTTAAATTAACTCTAAACTACAATTCTTGTCATAACCCAATATTGATCTCTCTCATTTTATTGTATAACAGAGTAAGTGTCTAAAGATACATTCTGTATCTCAAATTTTTGATACAATAATAATTACTTACTGCAAACTTACAGACTTTTTAATTATTAACAATGGTATAGGTCAATAAAATATCCTTGCTGCACTCCTCTGAACCATCTATATTAAAATTATTATCATAATTATTAAACAAGCCTATTCCAAATTAAAGATCTTTGTATATATTAGTTGTACTTAATTTTTATCCAATTTACTTGCATTTTTAGAATAACCCTTGTACCACTTGTTTAATTAAAGAAATAAATAAATAAAATAGAAATGATTTATGAAAAAAAGTTGAAAATTACATTGAAAAAAGTATAGATGTTGATTTTTGCAATAAATTAATTAAAGCAATGCCACAAAGAATTTTTAAAAATTTTAAAATGTGCAATGGATATAATGATAGATAAAAACGTTGAATATAAATTTAGATTATTTTATCTTATGATCTTGACTTTTAAATTTATGCATAGTTATATAATTAATATAGATCTAAAAAAACGTACCTGACAAAAAAAAATTGCTCGAATTTTATATCCTAGATTGCGTTTACTTTTTCTAAAATTAAAAAATCTATTGTTATTATAGAACATTTAAATAAGCTTTTAAGAATGCGAGACTTATGAGAGACACCGTAGTACTGTACTTATATGCACAATCATAATAATCATGGCACAAAAATCTGTTTCTTTATTTACATAACTACGTAATTTTAGGAATTACGATCATCGAGGGTTGACCTGTATTATCGAAAAAATACGTGTGTACAGCGCAACCGTAACGTCGGATACTGTAGTACGATTAAGTTACAAAAAGGAAATAAATAGGGAGAATAGATGTATAAAAATGGATTAAGATCAACCATGCCAATGCAAGGTTAAATCGTGGTACGGGAGACGATTTGGGGAACCTAAAATACGTATAAATAAACGTATTAAAATGATGTAAATTGATTCATATTTTCTGAGATCTTTGAAGATGCTAAAATCATTATTATTACCTCACCTTAACGTTCACGACGCTTTCGAGTTATTCTTCCTAAGCATTATATGTTATATTATCCATTACTACTGCAAGTATTTTACCCGACATAATCCTCTTCCTGGCCCATTTCCTTTGCCATTCTTGGGCAATTCGCATCTATTTACCGGCGATGCGTCCATTGCAATTCAAAAACTTTATGAAAAATATGGTGATATGTGGGAGCTTTACGTGGGCTCGAGACGACAGATCTGGCTTTGCCGTGCTGATCTTGTGGAAAGAATTTTTCATGTATCAGTTAAAAGTAACTTTCTAAAACGTTCACCTCCTAACAAAGGTCTGGACGAATTAGGGGTGTCCAATAATGGTCTCATATTCAACCAAGATTTGGATGGTTGGCATCGTAGTAGAAGTTTTATAAACAAAGTGATCGTGTCACCAAAATTCCTAAGGCAATCTGTCCCATGGACACAAAGTATTTTCGAAGAAATTGATCAATATTGGTCTGAACTTGGAGAAGATACAGTCTTTGAATTTAATAAATGGATGAAATATTTTTTTATGGATAAGACCTTTTTATTATTGATGAATATTCGAACACATACGTTGGCTAATTATTATAACAAATTGTCACCAAACAAGAAAGTTGATGTTTCAGAGACTTTTTTAATAGATAGTAATGCCTTTTTAAAATGCACAGAATCATCTACAAAAAGTGTACTATACTTTTATTTTTTCCCGACCATTATACGACATTTTCCAGGAATAAATTTGTATACGCGACATCTTTTAAGACAATGGAATCAATTTACGGATTATTTACGAAAAATCGTTGGAACAAGAAGGGAAGAAATTGCCAGTACGCCCGAAAATCAAGAATTATCTCCTGATATCTTAACATTACTTTTAATTTCAAATACTCCACGAGATTTCATAAGAAAAGAAAATGATGAAAATAAACCCATGGATGAAGAAGATATAATTGCAAATATGAGATCTCTTCTGGTTGGCTCAATTGAAACGGTATGCAAGCACATGCATCGTGTCGTTTTTTATCATATTCTGGACATTAACAACGACTATATGTTTTTTGATAGTTACCAAGCACAATGTGTTTCGTAGTATATTACTTGGCTCGTTATCCCCAAGTTAAAAAACTCGTGTTTCAAGAATTAGATGAAATTTTCGGAAAAAATATTGATAGAAACATTACTCCCGATGACATTCCTCACCTGAAATATTGTGAAGCAGTCATTAAAGAAGGTAAGCCCGAATTCAACCAATAATTATTTAATTGATATCAATGTTTATTATTCTACCAAGTATATTTTTTAAACTTTTATTTCTATAATAGTTTTACGTATTTTGCCGATTACACCGGCGACCGTTCGTATTTCTTCAGGTTCCGATGAAATTGGTGAAATAAACTTTCCTGAAAACACAGAGTTCGGAATAAACATCAGTGGCATCCATATGAACAAGGCTCATTGGAAAGACCCTGAAAGATTTGACCCTGGTAGATTTTTAGAAGTCAATGATCATGATCCGCATGCATTTATCCCGTTCGGGGGTGGATTGAGAATATGTGAGCAGAATTAATTTTTGCGGTTATTCCTTTTTATATAAATTATTGATTCATATGCTATTTTAGGTCCATCAAAGAATATGACTATTTCAGGGATTAAAAACTTGATGGCTTTAATATATAGAAAGTATGATATTGAGCTATCCGATATTAACGCGCCTATAAAGTACGTCACTACCACTACCAGACGTTGTAGTGAGCTAAAAGTCAAGATCAAGAGAAGAAATTTATGAGCATTGTTTAACCTAAATACTGCTAATCGAGATTGTAGGTATGTACAGGGGACTACAAAAAAACTGGCACTAAGATTTTTTTTATTATTTGATAAGTAATTTTTTTGAAAAACTATATTCAAAAGTTATTAAATTTGAAGAATAATTTTTATTAATGAGGTTTTTTAAAAAATTAATTTAAATTATTATTTCATTCATGTGTGGTTTGCACAAGTTAGTTACTGCTTTTTACTCAGTCTACTTAACAAGCCTCAATAGCGTAAACAAGGTAGCGATAAACTTATATGGTGCCTATTAAACTAATTTACTTCTATAGCTTTCACGTAGTTACATTCTTTGATTACTATAAGCATAGAAACGCTATCAGTAGAATTACGAAGAAAAGGAAACCCATTTTATTGAACTAACAAAAAGCAATTCATAAATTGACCAGCTATTAGATAAATTTATAATCACCTAAATAAAAAATGAATGAATGAAATGTTATCATAATGATACATCAATATAAATGTCCAGTTGGTGACTAACTCGGCGCTACGCATACACGATCTGCACGTGAGCAACGTCGAATAAAAAGGTCAATGATAACAATAATAAATTTTTTTATATAATGTCACCAATTTAATTATAAATATAAAGAAATCAATCTTGATAATATCAGTAGTGTTAATGCTGAGCAGATTTCCTACAAAATTGACTGTTTGCATAGAATAACAAGTGCATAGAGTGTTGTGTAAAAATGGTGAAAATCTCATCGGTTAAAATACAGATGAAAGGTATCAAAATTAATACTTAATGTAATGTTTGAGTGTAAAAAAGGTGCAAACTATTCTTGTAGTTATGGAGACTAAACTTTGAACTAAAAAATAAACCTCTTATATGTATATATATATATATATAAACTGCGTAAATATATTCCGACTCGTTTATCATTAAAACCTCTTAAAACGTTATTAATTATATACTGTATATCGATTATAAATAAAATATTTGAATAAACCAGAATATTGTCGATGCGATTTCTTTCACGTGACTACTAATCACGAAATTTCTCGTTTTGAACGGCGGTATTGTGATAAATTGTGACAAGCTATTAATTAATTAAAGTAATATCAATCAGATATTATGTAATATAAGAGAAGTGCAAAAGGACCTTAGTTAATTAATTTCGTTATACTTTTAATTGTAATAGTCGTTTCAACTTATATAAAAGAAAAAACAATAAACAATAAAATAGTGAATTCATTTTACTTGATCAAATAAAAACTCATCCGTATCTAGTACTCCAAATTTTAATGGTAATAATTGAATGTATATAAAATTATAATATAATAAAAAAAGTCTAAAATAAACTTCAAATAATTTAATCACCACTAATTTATTTACCTTTATAAATTCAATATAAATAGTAATAGTAATAAAAAAATAAAAATAAGTTAATTGATGAAAAAAAATCAATGTAGTAAATAACATTGTAAAAAGAAATTACATATAAAAATAAAATTATTTATTAATTAGAATTTTTTTAATTAAAATATGTAATTAGTATTGTCAAAAAAGTAAAATACATTTAACTTATTTAATATTTTAAATGTCAATAAAATTAAAACTTTAATAAAGTTAAAAGAATATATTTTATACATGTTGACTTTATACAATATAAAAATATTATATTATATTAAGTTTAATTTTTTATAACATAGATACTTAATAAATATATAATTATTATAATTATAATAATAAAATAAATAAAAATAAATAAATTAAAATTAAAATCAAAAAAACTTTCTTTTAATTTTATCTGTTATTTAAAAAAAATTATTTATAATTATTTTAATTAAAAAAATAATTTATATCTTTTATTACAAATAAGCTCTAGCTTAAATATTTAAAAACACTAAAAATAACTGCTATAAAATGGAATTTTAGATTAAAGTCTGTTAAAGTTTGAGAGTTTTGATTATTATTTGATTACATAATAAAAAACTAAGAATAATATATTTTTACTTTTTTGTTTTCTTATAAGTTATTATCAATAAAATAAATAGAATAGTATGTATTAATTAATAACAATTTAAATATATATGTATCAGTTATAATTTCACTGGCTAATTATTATCGATCTAAATATAAATCAATATATATCAGATTTTATTGATATTATTATTATTTTTTTTTTTTGAAGAAGCAAATGGCTATCATGCTATTATTTATTATTATAATTTTAGACTTACGGGTTATAAGATTTACAATGTGAAAAGCATGACATACATTTCTCTTTGCTAGGAAGAGTTAAATGCAGGACCTGTAAAGGCCACCCTAAGCTTCTTGGCACCATTCAAGGAATACAGTAAAAAAGAATATTTAAAACCTATATTATGGCCTTAAATGGCGTCTAGC